AACTGTTTGGAGGACCCCTTCTGTGGAAACCAGAGCCCGGCCAGCTTTGCTTCATGGCAGTCAAGACACATCTCGTAAGACTATGTTTTTCCTCAGCAATTAATCTTGCTTTGTCAATTCATCAATAAACTTCTCACGTTGATAGAATGACCCAAGAGTCCATTTAAGTTTTTTTCACCCATCCACCCCTATTAAAAATGTGTTAATAAAGGAAGGATCATATTAACAAAAAAAACCAAACCAAGTCCTTTAGCATTTTAATAGGCTCTTGTATAGCATCTCCATTTGAGACACTGAAATCACTTGGTAAAAAGTGATCTTGGTAAAGAAGGCTAGACATTATCTAGACCAGTTTTACAGGTGAGACATTAAATGCATAGGCAAATGAAGTAACTTGCTTAAGAACATAGGTCACAGGCAGGTTGAGGGACTAACCCCAGCTTTCTTCCCTCTTAAACCAGTACCTTAATGACTCCCCTACAGTGTCTCCCAGCTATTGTGTAAGGGACACACCATTCCTTCAACTGCGGCTTTGGAGGCTTCTCCAGCAGCACCAGAAGGCCTGTGGGGCTCCAGAAGATGACACTTTTTCAGGAAAAAGAAGGCTCAATCCTATTTCTTTTGTCTGGTGCTACCCACATAGTAACATCAAAACACTACACACCAGGAGACATTTTGATATAGACAAATGCCCAAAGTGTCAAAGTCATAATAGATACCATCAGGGCACAGTACTGAGAAAACAGTTAACAGTAAACCTCCCATTGATAGCAGTGGACACAGTATTAGGTTAAGGACGAATGTTTTGAAAATCCCATTTCTAATATTCAGGCCCCTAGGGACCATTAACAGAGCATAATATGAAGAGTCTAATAGAAAGCAGTGGAGAGAATGAGAAAAGCTATAGAAAACTCTAATGATAACATTCCATCCTCTTACATCTTTATTATCCACTGGGATTCCATTCTCCTCCAGGGTTTGTTTAACTGAATGCAGAATGCCATTCTTCACATTGTCTAGCTCTGCACGCAGAAGATCCATCTCCTTCTTAAGGTCTTCAATTTCATTGAATTGCTGCTTTAATAAGATGTAGGACTTCCTTGAAACAGTAGATGAGCAAACATTATTAGGTCTGTCCAGCTGCTTAGTCCCTGGTGCCAGGCTGCCGCACTCACAGCTCAGTAAAAATAAGGGCACATGTCTACATGGCTTCTGTGGTAAACCCAGAAGCTGGGAAGCACTCTCTATCCCCTCACCCCACTCAGCCTGGGCCAGAGATTGGAAACTAGGCAGTATGGATAGGTTAATGTGGTTCTGATCATGGGCCCAGAGCCTGCCATGGACAGGCTTGGCATGCAGGCAGGGCAGACTTGCCCTATGATGTCAGCCAACACTTACACCCATGTATCTCTCTCATTTATTTGGGTGGGCAAACTCTCCCCATCTCCAGTACTTTTAGCTGAGTGAGCTTTTGTGTGTAGCAGCTGTAATGCTCCCTCTCTGGTGCAGAAGCTCTGCTGTCATTTGCACTGGAGTGCAGCCATGAAACTGAAGCTGTGTGGGGACACTTCTGTCACCAGTAGGGATGTATCTCAGGACCTGCAGCTGGGCAAGTTGAGTTAAAGGAGTATATCTGTTAAGTCAGCTGTATCTCTCAAGCAGGGTTAGCTACTAGAGGGAGATATGCTAGCATTAATTGAGTCAATATGTTACAGTAGGCCCAGGTATGATGACAACTCCACTGAGGCAGTGAATCAATTCATCCTAAAATCATTTCTCTTACCAATATGACTTCATTTCTGCTCCATGCAGCTGTGACATCTCCTGTAAGGGAAAAGCAGCAAAGTACATTTGCCACTAGCAGAGCTTATGGGGTGCCTCAGAAACTCAAGGTAGGAAAAGCAAACTGTGGCCCAACAGGATTGGCAGTGATATAAACTGTGTGATGGGCCAATTTTGTTTATCTGTTTTCAGACCCCAGCTGCCTGAATTGGGTTGGGAACAAAGAAAAAGACATTCCCTAGAAGAAAGTCAAACCCAAAGGTAACAGACAGTCACAACATTAGTTTTTGTCTTTGCCATTTCCTCCCAAACTATGATTAGAAACTTTTTGGAACAGTGGCATGTCAAACCTAGGATACAGACTACTTAACTAGATGTCTGCACCAACTCAGAGGACTGTGGGGACAGGCAAAAAGCTGTTTCAAGTTTAAAACCTTTCTGAAAGTAATAACCCATAAGGCTCTCCCAGCTGACCTCCATCAGTTCACTGAGGGCTTGTGATGTGCTAAAGATACTGAGCAATCCCTCTGGGTTCATATTAGATTGAACTCCTTAAATCTGATCTGATTAAGGAGCTGCCAGTCATGCCTTCTGAGTTAAGAGCTGAGTACTTTAATAAAAAAAAGCAGCAATGCAGAGGTTCATTAAAGACACTGAACTATCACTAGCAATATGCTCTACCTCATTTGAAACCTACTAGAAAGATGAGAATGAAGCTCTGGCTTTCCAGCTGAGTATTCTGCTTTTCATTCAAGCTTTCAACACTAAGGACCCAAAGGTTTTCCACTGAGTCATTTTTAAAATGAAATAAAATTTTGTTTGCAGGAATTTTGTCTAAGTAGTCACAACCTGCACGCTGTGCATTTTCTGTAGCTAGTTATAGGCTGGATGAGTTGAAGGCTTTTAACCCAAGCAGTGGTCATTGTGACTACTCTAAATCCCTCAGGAAGAAAGACAAGGAGTGGAGGACAGTAGTAGTGATTGTTTCTGTTTACTCAAGCTCCCATTAAGTCAGGGGAGCTTTAAATCACAAAAGAGCCAGTCTTCATGGAACAGCTTGCACAAACAGGGATTTAAGCTAGGTCTCCTTGCCCTCAAGCACTCTTCACTGCTCTGAGCAGGCTGCCTCCAAAATGGGGAGCACTATTACTGTGGCTGTGTACCTGCACTGACAAGCTACTTGGGTACATCATCAGCAATGCTAATTAGCTTGTATAGAGGTGGCTAGAGTGTTCCTGGTTGAACAGGCAACCTGCTTGGAGTACTGTGGTGTGCCTGAGGTTGCTGCCAGCAGGGAGACAGATTTAACAGAGAGACAGCCTTAATCCATCAAAGTTCCTG